TATCTATCTATCTATCTATCTATCTATCTATCTATCTATCTATCTATTTATCTCTGTGTGTTTGCGTGTGTGTGTGTGTCTATGTGTACACATACATGCACAATTCATTTAGCAATTTGGGATTGAATGGATCCAAATTGACAGTATCAGTTTAGATAGCACTATATTTTTTTCTCTGTTTGAATTCCCCATCAATTGGATCTACCACACAGACTAAAGACAAATAGAGGGCACTCGGATCCAGTCATTTTTAGGCTGTCACCTTGGCTTCCAGCAGTTTTTGAGACAAGTCAATGATTTATGGCCACTGAGTAAGGTCACCCCATCCAATGGGTGTTAGAGAAAGACGTTGTTCTAACTACAGCTCCAGTCTAAATAGTAACATAACGTAAGCAGGGAGAGGCCCGGTAAACTGTATAATCAAAAACAGCCTTATTAACACACAGTAACTGTAAAAGTACCTCAGTGACCACAGTTGACTGGTAGTACTCAGTACTGTAGATCCATCCATCTTCACATCCCTCCTGCTTCAGGCTGGACAGCAACACCTCTGATCCAGACTGGTTCTGGCTCCAGTCTGTGGGTTTGACTCCCAGAGCTGACAGGTTTTTCACCTGGTTCAGCTCATACCGGCTGCAGCTGCTCCTCTCCGGCTGCCCGGCAACCTGCAGACCGTAAAAATATACACCAATTATGATTCCCAACTTGATCCCTAGCACAAGGGAGGTGGAACAAGGCAGAGCAATCTACTTGAAGTCAGACTATACCGGTTCTAACCAACATAATGAAAAAAACACACAATAAAACACAGTTATGAGGCAGTCCCTCGACATAATACCATCTTAACATGACAGCAGAATATTGTCCTCAAAACTGGAACTCATAACATTCAAAATTATCTAATTTTATTTCATTAAAAAAAAATGTCAAGCATGTTTATTAATCAATTACATCATCACACAATATAGTGTTTTAACAGTGAAATTATTCATTTATTTCCCTACAAAATGAGTGTATGTATAATATTGTGTATGAAGAAAATGTCTAAAGGCAGCTTTTACCACCATTTTTGTCATGACAGTATATATGAAAAAGGTTTCATATATGCTGATGGTGACATTTTGTAGTTATATTTTGAATATGTGCAAAACAAAGACCATTCTTTTGAGTTCAGGTGGGGCTACATAAGGAAACATGAGAACATGATAGAATAATACTTTCTTTACAATTTGCAAGGTGAAATACCTGGGAGAAAATGTGGACTGGGACTGTTACAATGGAAATGAGGGCCAGGGAGAAGTTCATTTTAAAAACACTGGTAGAAATCTTAACAAAACTTTAAACAAGCCAGACTCCACTTCACAAAACATGGTTATATTTCTACATATTATCATATCTCCATGATTTTACAGTAAACTGGGTATTTTAATCAAGGTATTTTGTCACTGTGTTTCATCTAAACACCATTTCAGTAGAATTACTGGCAGCTGATACTTTTATCCGATATAATGTACATGTTACATTTCCATCTGTTACAAAGATGCTTTGTCATTCATCTCGTCTTGTGGTCACTGACTTAAGATAGGCTAAACACCTAACTTGTTTCATAAACAATTTCTGGTTTCTACCAACTCGTTAAGACAATATAAAAGCCCTTTGTTGTGGAATGTTTGCCAGTTATCATGAGCTCCTTCCTGGTGATGTTAAAGGGATGACTGTAAAATCGAGTTCTTACCATACTGAGCGGTTAAATTCATCTCAGTTTTGTTTCTATAGCACAGAATCACGACAAACCTTTATCCATGACATGTCCATGATACTTAAATAAAACTATGTAAGCGTTTCGCCGGCCTTTAACTGGCCCCCTGGCACGAGATCTGACCTGTACTGGGATGATGGCCTGGATCCAGTCTTCGCTCAGGTTGCTGTGGGCAGGGATGTGGCAGTGGTGTGGAGGGACGGCCAGCAGGAAGATGACAGATAGGAGGTTATATCCACATGGAATGCAAGTGAAACAGAGCACGAACAAGATTCTCCTCTGGAAAGGGCCCCAGGACCCCAAAAACGAAACTGACTCCTCATAGTCTTGCATCGTGTTTTTTGTGTTGTTAGTTTGTTGGTCTTTGTTTAAATTTACAGTGACAACTTTGATCTACTTTTATATAAAAAGTTGACTTTAAATGCACAGAGAATATCAGGTAATTCTGCAAGATTCAAAAGGATGTCTTCTTGTGGTATAAAAATGATAAATGCAGAATAATTGTAATGGATAACCGTCTGTCAGGAAACTAAATCTTGTATCAGAAATCACAAATGCTACTCTACTATCTACTTTAAGTGCAAATTTGAGGCTGTCTGCACACAACAAGCGCTCCTGTTGCAGCAGTGGCAGCGTCTTTCTGCTGCTCCACTCCTCCTTTAATCCACACGAGACCGAAAAACCCCACCTCTCATCCTCCCCCTTCAAAAAAAGCCTGCGCTCATATTGAAGGAGGACTCCAAACAGCGGGACAGAAACACTGTGGCAATTTCAAGGGGAGTAAGCAACAGGCCGAAAAAAAAAAAAACACAGTTTGAATACATGTGTCAAGACTTAACCCCAGTGCAAGGTTTTAAAGCCCGGTACGCTTATAAAAGCAGAAGGTAGGAGCAAAAGCATCCAAAAACAAACCTATAGAGGGATGAGACAAAGTGGACCTTAAATACAATATTGAAACAAAAATGAGCTGTTCAAAATCTTGATTATTCTAATCAAGATTAGTGTTGTAGATGGTTTTAGGCTGTCAGTGGAACGGCACACTAATGTTTAATGTTTACTGAAGTGTGTATGGGAGCAGTTTGCCATGTCATGAATCATCAGCACAAATTACATAACTTCACTGTCAATGAGTCTGAGGAGGCTTCGTAACCGGTTGAATCAATCAACGGACGTCAAACTGACAGAGTTTTTGTGTTTCTCTTCCTCAAAGAGCTCATGAAGTCAGTGGCAGCATTTACATGGACTGCTTTTAATAAGTCCAAAGACTCCAATCAATCACTTTGAGACAGATGATGTAATTATCGGGATATTCAACTATGTGTACATTCAACCCTGATTGTTCTGTGCCGACTGGATAAGATATGGTCCTTTGAAGCTTGCTAAAAACACAAGGGGGGGTGATGACGCAACGAGTTTCCAAAAAGCTAAATACATGGAGGCATGTTTCCTGGTCTGTAAATTCTCTGTAGATGATGCATTTTAAATCCACTGTCCCTTTGTTTACCTACTCATTGTGTCAAACTGGATCGAAATGCCATTTGGTTGTTTCAATTTACTGTAAACTGGATGGAAAGGCCATTTGGTGGCATTTATTTTCATTGTAAACAACGACAATATGTGCTGACATGACTGTTCATTCATTAACTGCTGTTAGGATTTCCCAATACAAACTATATATCAACACAAGATTAGGACAAATACAACCTAGATCGATAGGCCCCAGTGACAGAAGCAATTATTTCCAACATATTTAATGAAAAATATATCTGTTTATGCTGAAAGAGACTATCACAAAAAAGACAAACATCCCAAAAAACTAGATATAATGTTTTTAAAAATAATTAAATTCACGAACAGTGATTTTAGTGCTTCTGAGCCCATGATAGGATCGTCCATCCATTCTCTATACCTTCTTATTCCAACTCGGTGTAGTGTGGAGGCTGAAGCCCTTAACAGCTGTCATTGGGCAAGAGGTGGGGTACCCTCTGGACAGGTCTCCAGTCCATCATCGGACCACAGCCATACACATTCACACTATCTCCTCAGATCAATTCAGAGTCACCAGTTTAGCTAACATGTTTTTGGATGTGGGAGCAGTACCCGAAGAGATCGTTGTCCATTTTTAATGCAGTGCTTTGTTTCTGATGCACCAAGACCACCACTTCTGCCCGGGCTTCTAAGAGGAGAACCTCTGTTGAAAGCAGTGAATACAAAAGCCCTTTGTAGCTATGTCTAAACAGCTGTCTAATCTGTGTTCGGATTGAGCCCACTGTGTTTCTGCTGCTGTAAACTAAAAGGAGATTAGAAACTCAGGTGATTAGTGACATCTGACCTAAAAGAAAAACTCAATGTGCAACAGTGATAACAGTTTCTTGTTTTATTGTAACTCCTCACACTAATCAGTTTTCTTTTTTTTGGTTTATGTGTAAATGTCTCCTTAAGGTATCTACAGCATTCTTTTCAGGCTAAATCTGGGGTATGTGTGACCAAGATAAAGAACACTGTTTTCCTGTCACAAATCTACCTGGACTTATAATTAATTTCCTCAGAGCGGAGATGCTGAGTGTGTTGTAAATGATCCATCCAGCGTCCAGTCTGGTCCAGTTCTCAGCATGATATCTGGTTTGTTCAAGTCAGAGTCTCATTCTTTCTCCTCAGGGTACTCCGGAAGATGCATGTAAATATGATTAGACCAAAAAAAAGCCCAAAAGACACACACACACACACAGACGCACGCATACAAAAACCTATCTGAACATTCCATCACAATAAACACTCATTTGTGCTTTATGTCGCAAATTGAGACCAAGTACAAACGAGTAATAAGAAACAAAAAATCCATTTCAAGTTTTGATGGTTCCTATAAGAGATGCACTCTGCAGACTTTGTTAACAGAAAAGGGAGGAAGATAAAAGTGAGCGGCTTCCCATCAGTTTACTGTTATTCACTCGAGGTCATGCTTGCAAAGCGTCATCTCTCTGGCTCTCTGTTAGAGTTACTCTGCGGATGAATGGAATGACTGGAAGTAGCCTTGTTCCAATGAGGAAAAGGTAAAATAGTTTCAGTAGCTGGAGGGCTACAATAAAGCGGAGGTTCTGATTTCTTCAGCTTATCTTGCTGCTAATTGCGTCCCACGTCTGAAAGTGGCACAATCATTCAGTCGCCATGGTTTGAATGATCAATGGTAAGGTTGGACGATAACAGGACAGGGTCAGGGTAATCATCAAGGATTTATTTAAAGCATCAATTGGAAATTAGGCCATTTGTTTATCCTTTGGTTCCCCTTTTAGGTGTGTGCAACTCCAAATCTCTGTGCGGGCACTGGAAATGTCGCGTGCAAAAACATGGAATGGAAACCAGGAACACAAAGGAAAGAAGAAGCATGTAACCAGAGATAAATGCTATAATAGTAACAATGAAACTACAAAACAATAAAACTACATCCGGTAGTCATGCTGCACTTGAAACATTGTTTTGCAGTCAACCTGTTCACTTGCAATTGTATCCCCTTAATCAAGTTTCCCTGAGCTGCTATTGTGCTGTTTGTTTTCCCTTTTTTCTTGGTCTCTTAAACCCGAGCCGGTCAAAGCAGATGGCTGCCCTTCCTGAGTCTGTTCTTCCAGAGGTTTCTTCCTTTAAAAATATATTTTTTCCAGTTGCCTCGTGTGCTCAGGATAGGGGATAGGATGAAGAGAAAATTCAGTGCCATATATTGTTTTCCTTAATTGGAAATTAAGGAAATTTTTAGTTGGCTCTGTATGAACTGGATGTTTTTTGATTATGTTACAATGAATTGGATTCTGCTTGATTTAAATTGTACTGTATCGTGACATTTATTGTACTTTTTCTCTAAATTTAATTAAATTGCAATTAATCAAAATTAAGAATAATATACCCAGTTGTTAAGATTTTGTGTTTGTTCTAAAGTATTTTGGAGCATGTCTATGTTTTGATGTACAATGCTTTACAAAAATGTATAGAAGGCTATTTTTAAGTAGTTTTTAATGTAAATATTGCAGAATATATTAACCATTATATATAATTTTCAATGAAAAAAACAACCAAACTAAATAAAACAAAAAATGTTTTATTAAGGAAATAAAATGGCAAGTGAAATGTTACATTACATCTCAACCTGACAAGATTGCATATGTATATCTTCATTTCATAATAAACATTGTCCTCATAAAAAAAAGAGCTAAATAAATACTGTACATAAAGAGGAAGGAGGAGGATCTATAGCAGGAAGTCATCTTAACACATTTAAGGAAACAAGGTTTAGAACTGAAATATACAAAAAATATCTTTCAAGAAGACTATTTTTCTCATTCAGCTCGACACTTTTGATGAAAAGTTAAATAAAAACCAAAAAGAAACTTTCCCATTCAAGTTAAAACTCTTGAGAAGTGTTACAGAGATCATCGGAATTCAATCATGGTATTGATTTAACCTGAACGCGTTTGCATGTTCATAACAATAACTGTCCACGTAAAAATACTATAGTGTTTGAACTCTGTGTTTTACAATCCGGTCAAATGTTTTAAAATATAATCTTACTTCCGGGTCCATAGTGCGCGAGTAGTGTGGCTGAACAGCTCGCGCCTTTAAACATTTGCATTGTTTCCACATTTGCACGGCGCTTGAGTTACTTAGGAAGCAATATGATTGTTGGCATTCATTCTACAGACACAATCACACACACCGAAACGCACAATCTCAGTCTAAACGGTGCATCTCTGTTCATTTTACGCCAGTGTTGCAACTGTATTGATCCGTTAGGCCTCCGGATTGCTGATGAGGAACCTGACAGAATATAAAAGCAGCAGCTGATCTGTACATTATTGCATCGAAATGACATCATCAGGCAGAGGAACAACATCTTTTAACATCTTAGAACTGCAAATTCCACAAATAGAAAGGGCCTCAGAATACACATTTTGACATGTTTCTCTATGTAACACGTTGGTGAGATGTGCCAGCCTAATAGTGCATAGATACACACACGATATATCATGAAACGTATTTGCTCAACACTGGAAGACTGAGATGCTTCAAGTTACTCAGGAGGAGGCAGGAATACAGGAAAACACAGCAGTGACCAGGGAAAACTACAGAGAACTACAAGTGCACGGAAACAAACGCATTACAGATGCTGACATCATCCCTCTGAGAGGCTCACCAGAGACTTCAGTTCACATTCTTATTGTATATGATCCAGTGTTGAATCTGCACGCTACCAAATGTATCCACAAAAAGTTGGCATTTAATCAATAGGAGACATTTTCAGGAAAGCTTAATTTTCCTTTTAAAACTTGTTGTACTAACAACGACATCACTGCTAAAAAATATCAGGACGTTAGCATTTGTCCAGAACAATTATTCCATTTTATCATTTTTATCTCACACTTAATAATCTCCATACTGGCTATAAATAACTCAGCAGCCAATGAGATTTAACCCTAGTTCCACTCTGATCAGTTGCAGGCTTGGCTTTTGTCATTCCCCCCACGCATATTTTAATTAGCTCTCCTTTGATTCCTCACTGTATCATTAGTATCAGAGCAGGCAGCCGACCCACATTCAAACTTTTTGTCCAAGGAAACTTTTGTTGCACGTCACTTTTACCCTGGTTTTCATGTTTTGTAATTGTTCTTTAAAGGTTTTTACATGCAAATCTTTTTACATTTACGGTTTTAGTATCAAACAACCACCTGAAGAATACAAGTGTTATGAGAGCATTTACCCCCCATCTCAGACTTTTGTGTTCAATAGAGCTATAATGCCAAATTGTTCAATAGGAATAGAAGTGGGATCTTTCAGTTTTTTTATTTCTAAAAACAAAAAAACAAATTTTCCCAGGCTTTTTTTGATTAATCAAGGCAGAATATTGTGAGATGGTTCTATACTGCCTCTATACTGTTTTGTAGTCCAGTAATCTGACAGTAAAGTACAAACAGATTTTCTTGTAACTCTATCATTTCTCATTTCTCATCTTGTTGTGAGACTGCATTCGGCTTCGTACATGCTGCAAATCCCCCACTGAAACAAAGCCCTGAGGATACGAACAACCACTGGCAGCTCGACCGGATTTAAAGGAGAAACCTGCTTAATGATTTTCAGCAGTAAAAGTATTTGGTCATAAAATATTAGCATTGGGCATACATTACTGAAACCAAATACATTTGTTGTGCTGTACAAAATCTTCTTAATGGACTTGATCTTTGAAAATCCCATGCAGGTACTCACACTCTCACTATATATTCCATATTTTTTAGTTGTCATCGTAAGGCCTTCTACTTCAATGAGCAAGTAGCAGGGTCTCGCATTTCAATTAAAGAACTGAGAAAATCCCTAGAAATCCCAACAATGATTATCTACTGCTTCTATTCCATTCAGTTGTTGCTTAAAACTGTGTGTGAACTTGCATCCTTTGTTCCGATCCCACCGGTCAATTTAGAAAAAAAACCAAATGCCTCACATGGAAAATTCCCCATCCTTCTTTCTTTTTGACAGCAGCCATATCATGTTTTATATAGTAAAAAAATTAAACATTCACTTCTAAAAATAAAAAAAACAGCTTGGACACTCTTGGAAAGTTCATTTAAGCAACTGGACGTGAAGTACTGGACACGTCCAGCTGCCTAACTTAACGTTCCAAGCTTGACAATGACCTGGATGATGGAGAATCTTCAAAAATAAGCTTGGACGTTTTGTACATTGGTGTCTTACAGTGAAAAATAGAACTTGGCTTATTCTATTTAGCATGCAACCCTTCGTTTAAAATTTGTAGGTGAAGAGTAACAAGGAAAATGTGAGGAAAATGGAAAAAAACATGCATAGCCAGTATTTACCAAGAAATCTCCCAAGAAACTGTTTAGAATTAGAGTAGGAAGTAGATGTTTGAGCTGGACGGTTTCATCACATATGTCGACTTGGCTGTATTAAGAAAAAAAAATCTCTGGATTTTTTTTATTCTAAAGGTCAAACTGTAGCACAATGTTGCTGAGGCATTAGCACAGATTTAGGCCAAAATTTGAAAGTTGAGAGGCGACTTTGGGTACATATGCACAACATATAAAGTGAAACAAAACATTCTAACAAAAAAAGTTAGAAAGCGATAACTATGATCAATCACAGAAAGTTATTCTGCGTATTTATGGAAAATGGCGTACATCTGTAGGAAACAATTTTTTTTTCTCCTTTTTTAGTCAAAGTTTAGCTCAGATATTTTCAAATCAACTGACTTCAGGTACTTGAAAAATCAGCAAAAAAAGACTCAGTTAATGATTTTTCACTGCAAAACAAGGCGGAAGCCCAAATCCAAAGTGAGTCACTAGTGTGGAAATGCAGAACACGTGATGCAGATGTCAGAAAAGGGGATTTAGGGGAGGTTTTCATCAGCTTTTGACATACACCAGACTACATCAGCAGACAGGGAAACAACAGCTACAGGTCCTGGATTAGTCTTACTTTTCATTCCGAGTTTGTGAGGCTGTAGCTGCCACGGAGGAGATTTGTTATTAAACCAAAAAGTCATATGAGATTAAATGCACCATATGTTTTCAACCTGTGTGTTTTTAAATGTTTTGAGATGAGAGGCATTTTTAGACAAATATTCAACACCCGAAAAACGTAGACAATGAATGGATTCAGCTTCCTTATCTATTTTTTAAATTGAAAAAAAACATAGTGTTGTGCCTTATCTTATGATGTGGCCATAGTCCTCCTACTGATGTTCACAGTTTTACAACAAATTTTAATCAAATGAATAATGTTGGAGATTTTTTAGAACAAGTACTACTGAGTCATGTGAATTGAAACAAAGGCTGTGTAGACCAAACATGAGGTTTATATTAGCCTAGATTAACCAATTCCCAACAAGTTTGGATGCTGTCTAAAATGTAAAAAAACACATAAAGTTACCTATTTTAACCATTTAAACGCTGTTATTCATGTTTCAAATTTAAATATTCATATATCAAATTTGTTGTTTTCTAATGCGCAAAATCACCTTATTCAGTTTGGCCAAACATTTTTCATGATCAAATAATAAAAAGGAAAATTCAAAAATTCTGAAATCTGAGAATAATTTGCCGTATGCTTTATCCTGTATATCTCTTTCTCAATTTCAGGATGAATTATGTAAGGGAAACGGGTCTGACATCTTTTTTTGTGCTGGTTTTCAATGTTTTTTTTGTGTGTTTTTTTGCTGATTCATGACGCATCTCACAAAAATCAATAATTACGTCCATTAATTGCATTTTCTTTTTCATCAAACATTCCTTAAGTTGGACCACTTGCATATGTTGATTCTGGAGCATCACAAATGACTTAAGACAACAAACGAGTGCAGTCTTCATTTCCAGGCATAAAGAAGTTTTCAGGACCACTTGTTGCTTCCTTGACAATTGTGGATAATTCTGTAATGTTTCCAGGATTATTCCATGTCTCTAAGAAATAATTTCTTGTTTTTCCAGAGTGTGGAGATCTTAAGATGGGACAAATGATGTGGTTTATGTAAAGAAACACTTCCACTTCCACTCTTAGTTTTGAGCCGGCTTGTCGGCTGTAAATCAAAGAAAGTCTGATGCAGACAGAAAGGGAAGGAGGTTTTGTCTTCTTTGTCTGTTTTCGGCTTTAGCCAGTTGAGGAGGGTGCACCCATTCGTCTCCGTTGAAGCTCCAAACAACAGTGCGTCAGAAATAAAAAGTTGCTGTTTGAACTTCCCGCTCTTCTCACTATCATCAGTAGGGGGTGAAGAGAATTGACCCCTGGCTGGCTCTGATTGGTCCAGGAGCTGGCCGTAGGAAGGAGGCAGTAAAGAGGGATGAGGACGCAGGAGGGCGAGGATGCAGAGAGATAGTGGGGGTGAGGGCTGTGGAGGTGGGTGAGAGCAGAGGCGAGGAGGAAAGGGAAGAAGGAGGTAGAGAGATGGAGGGAGGGAGGGGAGAGGAAGGAGGAGCAAAAGGAGAGGGGAGGAAGGAGGGAGAGAGGGAAGGCTTTGCCAGCTCCTTCTGAGGAAACAAGGAAATTAAGAGAGGAGAGTAATTAAAGACAAGATATAAAAGAGACAAAAGAAACAATTATGTGAGATTGAATTATTTTAATGAATCAGGAAGAGAAAAAAGAAGAGTATGCCAAGGAAAGGGAAAAAGAGAGGAGACAATCAAGAGTGAGGAAACAAGGAGGCAAAGACAAAGGAAAGTAGTATGAATGAGACAATAATAGGAATAGACAGACAAAATAGTTAAGAAAAGGAACAGAAATCCACAAGACATGGAATTATTAAATAGGATGACAGGGGTCAAGAGTAAAAAGAAAGAAAGAAGGCAAGTAAAAAAGAAAAAAACAGACATGAAAAGAGGGGACAACGTATCAAGCAGAGGGGATGATGCAAAGAAAGGAAAGGTGATTTAAAAGGAAAGTGAAGAGTGGACAGGTGCAAATAATAAAGCAAATGGTGGGGAACAAAGGAGGAGGGGAGAGGAGAGAATAGAGGGAATCAGAGGGGAGAGCAGACAAGGTGACACGGGAAACAAGATAAGAAGACAAATATAAAGGATGAAAGGAAAAAAGGACAAAAAGAAAGGAGAGAAGGCAAAATGGGAATGAGAAGAATGTGGAGCAACGCCAGGTGAGGAAGAGAGAGATAAACAAATGTCGGATGTGACAGTTTCCTGATATTGATTTGAATTAGCGCTTGTCTGTTTTACTTATCAACGTATTGATCTGGATGCAGGAAAAAAAAGAAGGAAACTTACACTGACGGAGTTCCGCTGCTGTTTGTTATAGGGGCTGTATTTGGGTTTGCTGGGTTTTCCTGCTACTCTGTCCTTGTGCCGCCTGCTGGAGATGTGCTGCAAAAACGACACAGTCACGCTCAAAACAAGGGAAGGAACAGGCCAACAACGAAAAAAAATCTTACTTTTAAATGTTATTCTGTCCCCACACCGGCTCAAACTCTTCATCAGACATTTAAAATACTCTGGCATATCAATATAAGTAATACAGTATGAGTAAATTAGGATAAGTAAATAAAATCAAATGCCTCAGAACCTCCAGCCAGCCTTACTTTTAAGGCTATTAGATTGAATTAGTATTTCGATAAGATATATTCAAATTAAATTCGATAATTGACTGAATGTTGTGCATCATGACAGCATGTGTGAAAAGGTTTACTTGCATGCATTATTGTCATGGTACTGTCTTAATGTAGAGTCTAACATGGAGTGCTAAAGTTAATCTGAAATCAACAGAAAGGAGTTCAGATTTAGCAGATTATGGACTATATAAGTACATGTTCATCATATGAATCACGTTACATTGCTGTGTGCTTAAATGTTACATCAGTCCCACCATGGACTTAAGCAAACCCTCTTTGAAAATGCACAGCTGGCTCTTAAAGGCTTATGGTTCAAATACATGAGGAAAGATAACCAAAAGTGAAGATATTTATCTTTAAAAATAGAATCAAACAAAGAGGCTGTTTCTAATAAGCATTTTCCTGTTGAGAAGTTATCAAGATTTAAAGGTGGACACTTTGGTTTTTAGAAGGTCAATCAGAGCTAATTCATTTAAGAAACCAACATAAGGCACAAGCTGGACTCTCCGAGTCCTCTGTTGAAACTCAAACTGGTTTCAGAGATCAACATCCTGTTCAAAGAAAAAAAATCTGGGCGCCGCTTTTCTATTTTACTTATAATTTTTAAAACCTATTTGTTCATTCTTCTGCATGCTTACAAGCCACTTTGGATAAAAGCGTCTGCATTAATGTAAATTATCATATATTATAAAAGCATGCAGCGTCCTCCCTATCTGGGATAAACGGTATTACAAATCGATGGACGCCGTATCCTTCCCTTTGGCATTAATTAAGTGTATCATGCTTCTCTACACTTAATCGTACATGAAAAGTTAATTTGTCTGCTGGTATACTGCGAGGTTCTACCTGTTTGAGTTGGATCTCAGAGTTGACATGCACATCACAGATCTGGCAATGAAAGGTTTTATTTTGCAAGCCAGAGCCCTTCAGTCCTACGCTGGTGCCATTTTTCAGCTTGGCTCCAGGTCGAGGGTAAGCTTTGATGGGCCCGGCGCCACTTCGAGCCTCCAGCATAGTTTTGTGTTTTGAACCTGAAAGCAAAGAAACCTTTATGAGCCGTCGGGCATAGTGTGGAAAACTGAAGCTTGCACATGGTAGAATGGCATTCTAGATCTGTTCATCTTGTTAATGATATTTTTGCATCTGATTACTGTCTGGCTCCTTGGTATTCAAGTTTTATTTTCTTTTATTAGGTCTAAACATCACACAGTTGACGTTGCACTGAACTGGACAATGATTTTTTGGATGTTCGGTGTATGCACTGGAGGGAGCAGTTACCAGAAGGTTCCATGAGGGGGAGCTGTGAACCACACTGAAGGGACGTGGCTTTTTTTGCATTTGTTTTATTTTCAATGCCCCCTTTCAAATCCTTCTGGAATTAAAAAAACTCACAAGAGCATACCTAAATGGATTTTTTAAAATGTTCAATATTGTAAAATAACCTAAGTGTGAATCCAATCTAAAACTGCGATTTAGCAAAAGCAGAGAGTTGATTAAGAAAGAACTAAAATAACTATTTACTCTCAGCATCAGTGTGGCAAACCTTTTAAACAAAATACCAACAGAATTTCACTTAGACAGCGAATGTGTTTCTTCTTTTTTTAAAAACATTTACTAAAATCAACCAATTTATGTTTTTCCACAGTTTAAAGCGAACACATAAAGGTGTAAAAGTGGTCTGTCTCCTCCTCACCTGCATTATGAGCCTCCAACTGAGACAGAGAGTTGACAGCGACTTTACAAAGAGAGCAGTACAGCAGCTTTTTGGCCTTCTCTTCTTCTGACTCCACCGAGAGGGCGGCATCTTGCGGGGAGGAGGTTTGAGTAGAAGGAGGTCCAGACGAAGAGGAGGCTGTGACAGGAGCGGGCACGGAAGACTTGGAGGAGGAGGAAGAGGAGGAGGAAGAGAGGCCTGGAGCTGGAGGAGCAGAGGGGGGGCTAGATGGAGGAGGCTCACTGCCTGCTCTGCTGGAGGAAGGGGAGGAAGAGGAGCGAGGAGAGGTTGAGAGGAGGAGGATGGGTTTGAGGGGAGACGAGGAGTCGGTGGAGCTGGTTAATGATTCTGGATGGAGGAAGAGGAGGAAGGAAAAAAACTCATTCAGAATAAAGATGTGACCTGTAATGGTATTCATATCGTCTTTGTTGGGACATAAAATAAACCTGTGTGTTGGCTGGTGCTGCTGTTCGCTGGCACAGGAGCAAGTCCGCTGCTGCTCCCATCGGTCTCCGAAGTGACGGACAACTTGGCCTTGGCCTTATTCTCCTGAGACTTGAGCTTCTTCGCGTGGCGACTGCCTCTGTAATGCGCTTCGGCCTGAGACTGAACAAACAGAAAGAGTCATTTAAAGTTCTATTTGATTAGGTTCTTTTTTCTTTTTTGCTGTGAGATGCTGATGTCACTTTTTCATAGAAAAAGGTCATAGGTCATCTCACACTGAGAATTTTCCTTCAAGGTCTCTCATGTATGAGCGTGTTTGTAACGTTCATCAATTCAGCAACAGCTCTAGAGTGAAAATTGTATTTGAGAGTCAATTTCCTTGTCTATCTTAACCTGCAATCCATTTATTTATTTGGATGGATGGATGGATGGATGGATGGATGGATTGATGGATGGATGGATGGATGGATGGATGGATAAATGGATGGATAGGTGCATCCTTTCTGATTTCCTTCATACATATACAGAACAACTTGCTTGTGTCATGTAATGACAAATACCTTTGGATGATCAGTGTGCGCGATTTGAGCAAAAATAAAAAAAGGTTTTAGAGCTTTTACCCTGTCTGGATGCATCTAAACACTACGGAACATGTACTGTTCTGGTTGAAATTTGCATTTTTATGGGAATCTTTATTTAACTGTGTTCCGGGGACTTTTTTAGGATAATAAGACATTGCTTGTGTGTAGTTAGACATAGTATCTGAGAAAATTGGTGTCAGAATATACATGCTACCGCATTTGATCATTTCCTTTCAGATTTTAGGTGTCATTCACTAGTTTAAATGATGTTTTGTTTGCAGTAAAACCGATTTAGCAGGTTATCTTTCTAGAATGGGCAGCCTGAAGAATACAAATGGATGCCATACGGGTGCACTCTGTGTTATTAATGTCTCAGCCAGATTCACTTCTCAAGGCTAATATTGTAGTAAGATCTTCCCTATGTTAAATAAAACCTAACTGCTTTAGTCATCATGATTATTGTTAAACAACTTTAAATTAAATGATTTGCCCATCTGTTATTTGCAAAACATATCATTGTATCTGGCACTTCAGGCCATGCTCCTCAGGGCACTCTGGTGAGCGCAATGAGGGGGAAAAAATTGGGTTGTAGGAACAGTGAGATCTACATTAGCCTTGCCTGTTGGAACAATAATACTCCAGAGGCTTAATCTCAAGAGTAATGTGAGGCAAACATTTTGTTCTGTAACTGATCTTAACATGCAAGTTCCCTTGGTTTCAACGGCATTAATGTTGTCCCACTTCATCACCTCCAGATGTTACAGGGAGGGGGATCTTTCTTATTGTGATCGTGTGTGTTTATTTAGATCTGCATTACTATGTCAGACAAAGCATGGCCTCATAATGAACCCTACACTCTAATCACAACAAGCCACTATGACAGTGTCCTCAAGTGACTGTCTGCAGTCTGGGTGACTCAACTCCTGCTCGGCTTATTAAATATATATCATACATTTTTCTGCGCTCGCCATCACAGCTGTGATTCCTGCTCACGTTCCCTCATAACTGGCCCATGCATTAGTCATGTTTCACTTACACACCACTAAGAAGGAAGCTAATTTCCTCTCCATGAATGAGATGAGGGCCGCTTACAAAGCTCTTTATAACAACAACTGGGGTTATAACAAATTATACATACTTGAATGAGTTTAAGGAAAGACAAAAAAGGCCACCACAATATATTTTAGCCACAGTATAAACATTTTTTCTTTACATTTCTTTAGATTAGTGAAATTGAGAGCGCATTAGCTGAATCAGTTCAACATTTATGAATTGAAAAGATTCAGTTCAAAATCGATTTGTAGTAAAATGAAGTTCACAGCGAGTATTTTTTACTGCTTGAACAGACTTTTTTAATTAACTTTGAAAAGGTTACAAAACAGAACAGTTCTTTTCTTTCTAATTTTTCATGAAAACCTGAGCCATGTTTGAAATCTTTCTTCAAATTTCACACATCAGAATTTAATCATTTCAATTTAGAAAAAGAAAATGGCTCCTACCAGGTCTTTTTACCATGATGCCCTAACCCAAATAAGGTAAACTACCTTCTTTATCCTATATCAATGGTTAAGGAGCAATATTACTCCCATCACATTGGTCAGCATCATGAGGTTCTACAATAAAGTACAACTACAACAAAGAAATGGCTTTTTTAACTGTATATAATGTATTTAGGTGCATATAAATACACACAGTTTAATTCTGTTAAAAAGTACACTTATTTGACATGCTCCACTTATTCTTATTGGTCTAATGAATGTCCATCATCATACTTTCATGTAGTACATTTTTGCGCTGCTGATGTAGGTAATAAAATAAGGCTGTAACCCAAGTGTAGTTGAAGTATCGAAATGTACAATATTTTTACACAGTTACATCTCAAACATTTTAAATTTCTTAATTTGTTTGATTTATCTGGAACCTATCAAATCCATTTTTTCAAAATCAATATTTATAATGTCACCTTATCTAGTATGTATGGGAGGACATTTAATATGTTTCTTTTATATTTTGCTGCCGATTTGTGCCATTTGGGAGTGTTTTGCTATTTTGGTTTTGGTGGCCTCTGCCTAGCTTTTTAAATCAACTTCAATAAATGCGTGTTTGAGGTCAATGTATTAAAAGGAAGTTTGAACTTAGATCTAACAAATGTTAAGAAATTAAATAGATGTCCAAAATGTAAACTCATACATATTCAAGTTTTCCCCTTTACGGGCAACTCATACTTACATCAGAGTTGAACCTCAGCTGGCAAACATTACAGGAGATGACTTGTTTTTTTTTGGGTGCCATGGTAACACCAAAGGTGTGGTTGATGACAGCCTTCTGAACTGGGTCCATCTGCATAAGACACACAGAGGCAAGAGGCGGTCCGCTGAGCGGGTCAGTCTGAACGATCACAACACGTCTGTCTATGCCCTAAAGCTACAACGCACACGCAAACACACACACACACACACTTATGTACCGTGTTGAAGTTCGGAAAAAGTCCAACTGGTGATGCTGTCTCAACTGGAAATGGCAGGAACTGTTTCATCATCACAGAGGGACCGCTTGCGCCTATGAGGCCGGGCAACGTCCCACCCACTGCGCCGCCAGAACTTCCTGGAAAGACAGTTTGAGTTCTTGCTTCATGAACATTAATAAGCAGATAAAACAGCAGCATGGAGGTTGGTTTTGTGTTCTAAAGCTGAAGTTTCAAGTCAGTTTTATCTTTCAAGCTTAAAGCCCTGGGTGTTCTGGCTTGCCTCCACATTCCAAAATATTTCTGAGTGTCTCCAAATGTACCCTAGGAGTTAGTTTTAGTGTGCAAATGAGAGTGGTTGTTTGTCTATGATTGATTTATCTCTGCCTAGGTAGTACCAACCCCCTCACCCAATGACTGCGATATGCTCCAACCCTGATTTAGGCATAGAAAATGGATGGATGGATTCCCATTTACTAGTGATAACTTCTCTGGTGCCATTTAAGTACCAGTTGATTCGTTTATTAAGGTATAAAGTGGCTGCTGTTGATGCCGTAACGAACAACTGAATTCTTGTTACTTCACCATTACTTTTTTTTTAACAATCAAAATGTCAGCATTTCAATCATTTTGAAAGGGACATTTTCAATTACACTGGGGGTAAAAATGCCTGTAAAAGATCATACAAGAGTATCAGTATTTGTGTGTAAAGTTGTCACGACCTAAGGCAGTTCTGAGGGACTCTGCTAAGTTGAATAACAATATTATTTATTTCCAGAAAAATGCAAACAAAAGGCGCTCTAAAAAAGAGGATGCAGACAATTACCAAGGTGGGAAAATAAAGGGAGGGTATGGAATGAGAGGGAAAGGGTGAAAACAAAATTAAAACAGGGAGCGCCTGAGTGCAAAACCCTGAACATGAACATGACTACATTCAACACACTTGATGAGACATAACAAAAGTAATGGGTAAAACATTCACATTTATAGCTTGTTCTGTGGTTTGAAGGCTCAGAAACCAGCAAAACAAATACATAAAATCATCCTTTAACTTCTATTTTGGAATCCCCACAGGAACCTTATGAGGAACATAGGGGAATTTTCCATATCAATGATACGGAGAGAGCAAGCTACTAGTGTGCAGAGGGGATCTGTGTAAGTAGCTCAAATGATGAGTTAATCTGTCCAGTTGACACAGGGTCAGTCAGAGCAGCTCTGTGCATTTCAGTTCACATCGCTACCCATTTAAAGAGGCAGAAATTTCAAAAGAAAATGCCATTTGAGATCAAAACTCGAATCTTTCTTTACATAAAAATACATTCTACACAATGGTGCTATTCCGATGGGGAATATGACCAGAAGCTGCAAGTGGGAATCCACGGTGATATTGTGTGACATTCAGACATTTGACGGGTTTATTTTCTTCTCTTTTTTTTAGATGGCTTTTACTTTATCCTCAATAGAACATGGAGAACACAGAGGAATTTTTCTATTTCAAATTTTGGGATGGGGCAACACCATTTCACACGCTCTTTAGTCATGTTTCAATTAACTAAAATAACATATAATTATTTCTTGAAGAACCATGACCTATCTAAGAAGATGTTATTGCGCTAATTATCTGTCTCAATTGTCCTTCACTGTAACAAATCATAATTAAAACGGAAATTAATGAAGTTAACAGCAACTATATCCACTATATCCACTTTGATCCATTCTGAAGTCCCTCATCTAATGATAATCCATTCCAAAGGTATCATAAAGCAGAACACATTAGTCAGCCTTTATAAATTGTTAAATGTAGTGAATGAACAGCATTTTATAATCAGTTTTAACTGTACAACAGCCTGTCAAAGCCAAACCAATGCTTGAAAATCTGTACTAACAAAATGTAAGTACTATTATATTATAATCCATGTTTGAAGTCCAGTTCTCCCTCTGACAGATGAGAAATTCAAATAAATAAAAAAATACACAACAAAATAAATTGCAGCTTTATTCTAAATGTTTGTTTATGTGTGTGAAAAAAAGTGTCCCTCTCAGCTGCCTTCTGAGTTTATCCACATATAACAAACCTATGAGTCAGTGTCTGTATTTATGACCCCGGCACTTTGTGAAGTTCAGAACAGAATGACACATCATAGTGTCGTAAATGCATGTACTCGGACACATTGCAGCACAGATGGCCTGTCTGCATCAGCTGGTATTAGCCGGGAGATTATTCATGATAGTATATACAGAATGGTGTCTATTTTTACAGATAGTATTATGTTTCAACTGGGTGGACCTGACTAAATGAAAGTTTGGCCCTCGGTAACAGTCAAAATAAAGATGTCACACTTCCACGATAAATATCTAGAAGCTAAAAACAACACAAAAGGATACTGACATCCAATGCAAAGCAAAATAGTGTTAATTTCCAGATAACAACTGTTTTATTGGACTGATGTGTGTATGTATGTATGTATTGAGGCATTACTGACATGGATGTCTGTGGAAAGCCGAACTGAAATAGTAGAAATTTGATTAGTTAAAAATGGACTCAGGAAGCTGAGACGGTCAGGATAAAAACTAAGTCTGCTTTTATCATGCTGTGGTACACTGAACTGCAACAAAACCTCAGAATCAGAACAATTAGAACTAAGAATAAATCACTGAAACTCACCAAAAACAAAACAAAACCACTGCAAAAAGCTTCAAATCAACTAAACCTTTCAAGCTGACACAAGGACGCTGAGCACTTATCTTAAGATCAGTGATGACTACATTATATGACCTACATAAACATAAAAAATCCACAAAAAAAACATTACAAAAGCCATCTAAAATTGTTAAACATTTACAAGAAGACATGAAACAACCAACAAAAATCTAAAGTGACTACAGTGACATCTTTACTATTTCCTCAAGGAGTCTACATGAAGGTATCCTCACACACCTTGGAATATCCACCAATCATGACAAAAACATTAATCCCTGAAGTTTAGGCATTTTTGACACACCAAGACCCTTTTAATCCCAGTTAATAATCACCTTAAAAACTTTACATTCCACCAGACTTTACATTTAGTTGTTTTTTCTGTGGACATAAAGGAGACATCTTAATATGACAGCATCATGTCAGGATTAGTTTATCTGTGTTCTGTATGTTTGTATGTATTGTGTATTGTGCATTATTGTTGTATTATGCCAAAAGAACACTTCTTAAATCTTTTTATTTCCCCCCTCTGAAGCTGAAACACTGTTAGTTGGATATCGTCCCTCGTTTTGGCGGATTTTCTTCGGTTCACTGCTGAACTGGGTCAGTTGTTAAAACAGTTACCATAAGTGATTGTTGCACAGTCTTTGTCTAACTCTTGTTGAAAAAATACATTTTAACAAGTTCATTTACTGGGGGTCTTTTACGTCCTAAAAGATTAAGAGTAGATGTTTGGCGCATGCTAATCGGTACGGCTAACAATAGAACATTTCCACGTCTACATACTGGCTTCATCAATCAAACAGGTGGAGTTCAGACGTCAAGGTTTAGCAGAGGAGGTGGTGTGAGTGACATGAAATTCAGATTGGTGTAGCTGGTTGAATGAGGAGATTTCAAATGACAGGGCACGCATAATGTCAGCGTTGTGCTTTGGGGGATTTTGAACTTGCTGCTGCCGTGACCTGACAGCTTTTTGCTTTACACTACATGGTCCAAGGAGATTACTTCTGAATGCAAGTCTACCCACTATGTTACTGATGGAGAAAAAAATTTTTTTTTCTTCCCCCAGATGTTTTTAACAGTACCAGGGAATTTACAAGTGACCATGCCTGGACTTCTGTTCTCTGTTGTCACAACTTTCAAAAGAGTTTGATTATTACTTCCCAACAACAAAATACTCCCGATCTAGGAAAGAATGGATCTAATAGATCTAGTACTAGGAAAAGACTACACAACAATAATTTCGACTAATAAATTATAAATATTCAAAAGTGATTCTTGTTTTGTTTTTTTTCATATTCTGCTAAAGGCCAAATAAAGACTTAAGACAAAAATAATAAATACAAATTCTCTTTGTCCTATAACAGGCTTTAAATGGTTCAAACCAAAACAGATTATTTTGCCACAAAAGTGCAAAAGCATCTACGCATCCATTTCTAAATTCTCACTTTTGGGAAGTAAATTTTTCAGCAGTCAGATCTACTAAAACAAGATAAGGAGTGTTTTGGGCATGTGGAACGTGCTTTGTTGTGTCAGTCTCTCCCATCACGATCAAATGGGACTGCCTAGGTACAGGAAAAGAAGCTCAGGGTTCCAACTGATTCTATTTTTTGTTAGTTGTTTGTCATAATACATATTACAATTTGAAAAATAAAATAGTAATTGACTAAATGTAATAGTAAAAATGCATGTATTGAACACAACTCATAATTTCAACTGAGAAAAACTTCTCAATTGACCCATATGGCATTTATATTATATATTGATTAAGCAAATTATATGCACCCCAGCACGTTGTAAAATGTCTTGTATGAAATGCAAAGCCATTCGAGATCACTCTTAACTTTTCAAGGACACCTTCTCTTCACAGTCACCACCAATAAAACACTTTTTATTTTCTTCTAGCTGTCAGCACGATATCTATATTGACTGCTGTTGCCACCTTACAGTTAAACCAAAGGACCATTAAGAGCACCTCAAATCCCTTCTAAGCTGTCCAAGGTTAGTTTAAACAATGTCAAAGGCCCCTTTATTTGAGAGGGACTATATGTGTCCTCTTAAATACGATTTAACCCTGTAACTAAAGTTGTCTTGCCGTTGTCTGACCTTTTTTCTTTTCTTTTTTTTCCTTCCATATATGTGTTTTAGTTCTTGAAAAACCAGATACTATTCCAAAGACTTTTAACTTCACAGTATGAATTGTAACACTGAAAACTGTCACTTTGATCCTTTAGCACGGGTCACGTTATTTACGATCTGTAAGAATGAAAACTATTTTTTTGGAAACTGTGAGTATGATGAATAGCATGCTGACAGAGTCATCTTGATTCTGTCCTTTCTGTCCTCTGAGATCTGGTTACAACCCACTGAGGCCCGAGCATACGCAGCCACCCTTCTCCCTTACAGTAAGTTTCTGTTCTAAGAAGCCGCTATAAATACTGA